TGTGTGTGTGTGTGTGTGTGTGTGTGTGCGTTTTATTTGTGGCCGCTGACGTCAGAGGCTGAATGGGGGGCGGAGTCTGTCTGACGGACACAAAGGCGACGGGGGGTCATTAAACACACACACACCTCTCCTCCATGTGAACCTTGTGGCCCCGCCCCCTTCCACAGGAAATTGTTGCTAACGACGAAGCGTCTCCGTGGTGACGGTTAACGAGCAGGCGGGACGACCGAGGTCGGAGGTCAGAGGAGAGAGACTGATCATGTGACCTGTTACAGACTGATACTGGCCTCTGATTGGCTGATTCCACCTGGGCGCCATCCTGGAACTGCATCAGGTCTCCAGGACCTTCTCCAAGGACCCTTTCCAACGACACTGTCACTGACCATTCCAGTCTCCTCAAGGACTCTTACTATCTTCTCAAGGACCGCTCAGAGCTCTGATGTCATCTCAAGGACTTCTGGAAATGTCTGAGCTCTGTCAAGTACTTTTTGAACTTTTTCAAGGATCGCAGAACCTCCATATAGTGTCCTGGAAACAGCTTAGTGACCATTTAGTCCTCTCAGGGAAAGAGACTCAGATGGTTGGGAAGAGTCCTTGAGAAGGTAGTGAAGGTCTTTGACAAAGTCCTGGAGCTCTTCAGGAGAATCTTGTAGGTCTTGAAAGATTCCAGAAACAATCAAGGAGGTTTGACCAGCAACTGAAGATGTTCCAGGAGTCCTTGAGAAGGCATCAGTGCTCTAAATGGTCCTTGAGGGAGTTCCAGGAGGCCTTAAGGAGCCTTACCAGGACTCTTGCCCCTCTTACAAACCCAATGACACAATCAGGGACCTTTTCAATCTTGTGAATTGTTACAACATTTTCAAGGACCCCTGGAACATTTTCAAGCAGCCCCTGAGCCTCCTTACAGATGTGTGGAACCTTGTCAAGGATCCTGGAAGCTTTCAAGGACTAGAGAACCTCTTCAGGGCCTCCTTCAGGGACCTTCCAGCTTCTCAAACTGCCTCTGGATCGGTTTGTAGAACCTCCTCCAGGACCCCTGCTGTCTCTCAGTGACACCTTGAACTCTTCAAGAACCCTGGAACTTTGCCAAGGACCATTCCAGTCCATTCTGACACCTTCTCAAGGACCTTTTCAGGCCTCCTCAGCAACTTTTCACGCTCATGCAGGGTCCTTGAAGCTCCTCCAGGACTCCAGGACCTTGTGTTGTTGTCTGAACCGATGCGTCTGATTGGTCGATATTTTTGTCTCTTTCAGTGTTTTTACTCAAATACTGTGACTGTGTGTGTGTGTGTCTGTGTGTGTGTGTGTGTGTGTGTGNGGAGCGTCACATGTAAAGACACAGAAACTGGATTTGGTTTGTGTTGTTTTCACACCTGATGCTTCTACAAAGTGGATCGTAAACAGGTACACACAGACACACACACACACACACATACACACAGACACACACACATAGACAGACACATACACACATAGACACACACAGACACACACATACACATACACAGACACACACACACATACACACAGACACATACACACAGACATAGACAGACAGACACACACACACACACACACATAGACATAGACAGACACACACACACACACACAGACACACACACATACACATAAACACACACACACACAGAGACACACACACACGTGCTGGTGTGACGTCAATGCTGATTGGCTGAGGAGTCTTGCCGATGGCCGCCTGTTGCCTGGTGACGCTGAGCCTCCGTGAGCAGACTGACTGAACAGCATGCTGGCTGTGAGCATGTTCACATAGATGTGGTTCCTCAGCTCGTCTCGGTGAGTCGTCCTGTGGGAGTCTCCAGGTTCTCCTGGCCGGGTTCTGTCCGGTTCTCCAGCTTCCTCCCTCAGTCCAAACACATGCTGAGGGTACCTGGTGGTTCTAAACGGTCAGTAGGTGTGAGTGTGAGTCTCTGAGACGGACCGTTACCTGTCCAGGTGAACCAGCCTCCAGTCAGCTGGGATGGGCTCCGCCCCCCATGGACGTTCTACTAACATCTGCTCAGATGATGAGGTCTCCAGCCGGCATCTTCATGGTCGTTCTGACCCACAATCCTCTGCAGCGGTGACATCACCGTCTCACCTGCATTCAGCTGGTAAATGGTTCCTTAAAACCCTTTAAGGCCTCCTGGGGCCTCTCAGGCTTCACACAAAGAACTGGTGTAAACAAAGCCCTCATCAAGACAGAACACAGTGATGCTGCACATCACATGAGACAGCAGAACCTGGGCTACCAGAACCTATCAGCCATGTCTACACGCCCCAAACACACCTCACACACCAGCTACATGAATTATCACACATGGACATGGACATAGCGCCACCCAGTCAACCCACTCGCCTCATTTCTGGCTCCAGGCTTTGGTACTTTATGCTAAACGCTCCAACAGCCCTCAGACGGAACCAGACGGTCCACAGAGTCCAGACATGTCCATCAAAGCTCTCTGAGATCAAAGCATCAGCGAGAAACAACCCAAAGAACAGCACAAACCCAAACCGGAGCTGGAAAATGTCTCTTACCTTCGCTGTTTAGCCACGAAAAGTTTATTTTATCGGTAAATCCACACCGGACGCAGTTAGTACTACTGCCTGTGTCACACTGAAATCACTCCGGGCGTCTTCTGGAGGCTCCGTTAGCCGAAGGGAGCTAAGGAGGGAACACTCGCTCAGCAAGCGGCTCGGCTTCAAGATGGCGTCCTGCTGGTTCTGATTGGCTAACAGTGCTGTCAATCTCATTTTGGTGGCTATCGCTGTATTCTATTGGCTCTAACGATTCGAAGGCGGTGTCAATCACTGACACCGACCAATCATGACGGAGATGCAGCCTTGCGTCACCACAGGAGCTCCACAGCAGTCTGAGCAGCATCAGGACGCGGAACACAGACAGCGGTCTGGTTGGATGTTCAGGAAACTAAAGAGCTGCTGTATGTGGATGTATTGAACCCCATCAGTGATATACTAGTGGAATATATAGTTTGTACATNCCTGTGTTACACTGAAATCATTCCGGGCGTCTTCTGGAGGCTCCGTTAGCCGAAGGGAGCTAAGGAGGGAACACTCGCTCAGCAAGCGGCTCGTCATCAAGATGGCGTCCTGCTGATTCTGATTGGCTAACAGTACTGTCAATCTCATGTTGGTGGCTGTTGCTACATTCTATTGGCTGTAACGATTCGAAGGCGGTGTCAATCACTGGAACCGACCAATCATGACGGAGATAAGCCTTGCGTCACCACAGGAGCTCCACAGCAGTCTGAGCAGCATCAGGACGCGGAACACAGACAGTGGTCTGGTTGGATGTTCAGGAAACTAAAGAGCTGCTGTATGTGGATGTATTGAACCCCATCAGTGATATACTAGTGGAATATATAGTTTGTACATGAGAACATTCAGATGGTCACCAGTGAGCCAGAATGAGAGCTCGCCTGAACCGTCTGGACTAAAAACTCTGTGATGTTGTTCTGCTTCTCTTTATCAGAGTCACAACGTTCACATGTTGTCTGTGATCTGGGAGAGGTTCAGAGCTGCAGCTGGATCACTACAAACATCATCATCATCCTGAAAAGATCACCTGACAGGAGAACCTGAACATGTTTCCTCTGTGCTGTGTGCCGTCTGCATTCACTCTGAACCAGGAACATATAAACTGATATTTACACACCTGAACACATCTCACAGGTGTTCCTTTGATTGTGACACCAGAATGATTCAAACAGACCCTGAGCCTGCAGATAAGCTCTGGTTATTATGGGATGTCATTATGGAGCAGAGGCCTGAAACACAGCTCGGGGCTTAAAGGGTTAAAGAAGCTGTGTTTACTGTGGACTGTTCCTCACACTGCGTACAGAACCAGGTATGTGATGGTTCTCTGGAGAACCTTCAGACTTAAAAGAAAACAACTGAAGACGTGGTTCCATGAAGAACCGGTTTCTGCTCTTGTTGTTAGAGCGCCATTAAAACACCTCCAGAGGTTCTCTGAAGATCAACACTTTCAAGAGGAAGCTCCTCGAAGAACTAGCGTTCTGCTAAAGGTTTCTGTTGAACCATGAATGATGAAGGAACCGTGCTGTGATCATGGTTCTCTGAAGGTTCTCTGTAGGTTCTCCGATGGTTCTCTGTAGGTTCTGAGATGAACTTAAAATAGAATCTCTGCTGCTCCACTGAACACCCGTTTCTGCATGAAACGGTGTGTGTGTGTGTGTGTGTGTGTGTGCGTCACCGTAGACACACACAGTAACACACACACAGTAACACACACACACACACACACACAGATAACAAGCTGAGTTGTTGTTGCACTTCTTTCTCTCTAATGCGGTGATTGATGACCTGCTATCCTCCCAGTGTGTGTGTGTTACTGTGTGTGTGTGTGTT